TCACTTGTCTGTATCCCAATCTTTCTCTATAGATACTTGTCATATTGCATTGAAGCTTACCTAATCACCCTGTTGCAAATTAATCACTCTTTTTCCAAATTATCATTCTCTCTCTCCATCTCTTTCTTTCTTTCTTTCTTTCTCTCTCTGTCTCTGTCTGTCTGTCTGTCTCTCTCTCTGTCTGTCTGTCTGTCTCTCTCTGTCTCTCTCTCTCTCTCTCTCTCTCTCTCTCTCTCTCTCTCTCACACACACACACACACACACACACAGCATGCAAGCATGTGTTCATGGAGACCAGAGGTAGACGACATCAGGTATCTACTTCATTTTTCTCTTTGTCTTATTTGAGACAAGATCTCTCACAGAACCTGCCTCTGGAGACCGGCTGAGCATCTTTCTGCCTCTGCCTACCCAGGGCTGAAGTTACAATTATCTACTGCTACATCCAGGTTTTACCTGACTGTGGCAATCAAACACATTTTTACACAGCAAGCACTTCACAGATGAAGCCATCTCACCAGCCCCTTAAATGATCACACTTTAAGTGAGGCACTGGTGGTTAAGGCTTCAATATGAATTTTGAGGCACACGATTCAGATCCCTAATAAGAGTCTGACTTTAAGCTCTATGACTGGGTGGCATAGCTTCACTTTTCTGTGGAACAGGAGGTTTACGAGTCTCCCACCGCCGACAGTAAAGAGCTTGTGCGCTTGCTATCCTATGATAATCCCCTTAGTTCTGGCACAGCCAGGAATAAATGATCAAACGATGGCGGAAGCAGAAGACAGACTCGCATCAAATTTGGTGTTTTCCATGAAACGAGATCATTCAGAGTTCAGAGAAGCCTGAGACTTCATTGGCCACATGAAAGGGGCTGCTGAATGTAATGGCGGCGGGGGGTGGGGGTGGGGGATAGGCTTAAGAGAGAAAGAGATGGAGAATGAAAAAAAATCACTCATATTTAGGAATTATTTTATAATCAGAGTCTCTCCAAATCCTCACAGCTCCACTCAGAGGGTGTCATTATTATGACTGTTATTAATATTCCCATTTTCCTGATGAGGATGTTAAGGCCCAGAGTGTGAGGCTCATCTTTGTTGTTTTGGCCTCCTGAGGACTTCTCGAACCCACACAAAGTAACTCTTTATGTTCTGCACATCTCTGGCCTCTCCCGCCCTTCTGCTCAGCCATGCCCTGACAGGGGTTAGAGGACACTGTGCTTCCTACTTTGTTGTGAGCTATTTGATTACACTGTGTGAAGATGTGACACTGTGATTGGTTTAATAGAAAGCTAAATGTCCAATAGCTGTACAGGAGGGACAGCCGAGACTTTTGGACAGAGAACTCTGGGAAGAAGAGAGCCGGAGTTTCCAGCCAGACTGGGAATAACCAGATGGGCGTAATGGAGATGAGGTAATGAGTGCATGGACGAGCGTAGATTCAAAAATATGGATTAATTTAAGTTATAAGAGCTAGTTAGAAACAAGCCTAAGCTAAGGCCGAGGTTCCATAATAATAAAACTCCATGTTGTTTATTGTAAGCTGGCGGCCCAAAGAAAAATCTGCCCACATTGTCTGGTTTTTTATTTTTATTATTTTATTAGTGGTGGTGGTTTGCTTTTTAAGAGTCAAGACTAGTATTATTCTTAATGTGGCTGGTGGTGCGTGGTTTTAGAGACCAGTTAATGTTCACTGAAGACCCACTTCATGTGATGGTTACTGTTGATTGCCAGGATCTGGAACCACCTAGGAAGCAAGTGTAGGCACACCTGTGAGGGATTGTCTATATTAGGCTAGGCTCTGGGCTTGCCGTGTTCATCCACGGGGAAGGCTCACCCCACAATGGGGTGGCACCATTCCCTAGGCCCTGGTCCTGAACTGGACACAAAAGAGGAAGCTAGCTGACTGTGAGCGCTCGTCATGCTCTGCTTCCTGGCTGCAGGTGCAATGTGACCAGCTCCCAAGCTCCTGCCACCATGCCTTCCCATCGAGATGGACAACAGACTGTACGGGGGAACACTGAGTCTGAATGATGAGCCCTTCTTCCCTGAAGGTACTTTTGGTAGAGTGGTTTTTTTTTTTTTCCTCACAGCAACAGAAAACTAAGATGAATAGCAATAGATGAGCGTAACAAGGAAGACTGCAACAAAACTATCCAGGGAGGCTTATCAGCTAGCAGTAGAGTGGAGAAGGGGTGCATGCAAGGGGCTGGGGAAAGCTTTGGACGAGGGAGACAATCCAGTTCCTGATTTTGTTGTTGCTTTGCTTGTGAACACTTTTTACCAGACTTGTTGTGCAAGTTAATGTAGCATTGCTATCATAAGTGTCTAAGAGAAAAGGTTGGTTCTGGGTGCTCTAACCCATGACTGTGGGGTTGCAGTTGCTTAGGGTCTGCTAAGGCATGAGCATGTGATGGCCAGAGCACGTGATGAAAAGAGAGGTATAGCCTCACGGTCTTGTATGTGCATATGTTTGCTGGTGTGTGTGTGTGTGTGTGTGTGCGCGCGCGCGCACGTGTGCTCCTGTGTGTGCATGTGAACATGCTCTCTAACTTCGTTTCTGAGACAGGGTCTCTCACTGAAGCTGGAAATGCCGATTTGACTGGTCTGGCTGGCCAATGCACTCCAGGGATCCTCCCGTCTCTGCACCCTACCTGCTGTCCAGCACTGGGATTACAGGCATATGCCACCATACCTGGCTTTTATATGGGTTCTGGGGGATCCAAACTCAGATCTTCATGATTGCATGACACATACTTTACCATCTGAGCTCCCTCTCCATCTCTCCCTCCCAATCATTTCTGAAGGTATGTTTCTAAGACCTAAAGACTTCCCACTAAGCATCAACCTCTCAATAGAACCTTAAAAGTAAACCTTCATGGGAGGGGGGCACTGAAGATCCAAACTGCCACAAACATCAACTTATGTACTTAAAGCAAGTGGTTTGATTGTACATAATTTATTCCTCAAAAAGTGTGTGTGTGTGTATAAATTTAAAATCACTAGAAATCCTACCACCAAGCATAGCCACTTAAAATGTTTTATGTGTTTTTATGTTGTCATGGCATGGCCACACCTCTCCTCCCCCCCCCCCCTGCCTTTTTCTCAGTCTCATATATCATGGAAACCTTTCCACGTCAATACACAGACTGCCGCATCAGCATTTTATATGGTAGTGTGTCACTGCAGAGTGATGTATTCCACCAATTTTGTTGAAAAATTTCAGGTTTCTCCTGTTATAAGTACCACCACATACATCCTTGTAACCCAGCTCTTTATGCGTACCCTTGGTTATTGCCATATTCCAGGAAGATGACTGAGTCCCAGGACCTGTCACTTTCATAAGGGATGTGAGGCGTCTTTGGGAAAGGATCACCTTTCCTAAGAGCTGTCCCATGGTGCACACCCTCCATCCCTCTCTGTCTTCACTGCAGTCCAGTCAGATGTCCCGCGACTGCTACGTGGAGCAGCACTACCACTCCATGTAGACAGCATAGGGTAAAATCCTGCTGCCTGGTGTATATGATACCTCACCCCTTCGGGAGTCACTGAAACCGGACAAAGCCAGAGTCTCAGCCAGGAAGCCTCCACATTCAAGGCCCACAAAAGGGTCTGAAAGCACTCCTAACAACCATCCTGGATGCCAAACCATCCAGGGCCAGATTGCTTCCTGACTTGCTAAAGAAACTCTGAATCAAGGGCCTGACAAAAAGAGTATTTTCTCTTCCAAGCTCAGCTGCTTTCTGCCTCTTATTCTCAGGTAATTCTTTGGAGCAAACTCTGTTGGAGAGGCACATCTCCCGGGTCGCAGGGACCTAGAAGTTGTGGCATCACACCTGCTGCTTGTCATTACACCTCCAGTTGATTTCCCCCATTCCCAGCCTGCTGCACGTAGCCTCAGGATAGCCGGTTCAGGTCTTCAAGACAAAATATCGACAACAAAAAAGTGCAAGTAGTAATCACGTTTGTTTCCTACCCTCCTGTGAGGATGCCATCAAATAATGCAACCAAATTCGCTGGCACTAACCCTAGCCCTGCTCAGGAGATGCTGATGTCTGGTGTTATGACGCCCTGTGATATGACGCCCTGTGATTCACCCCTATACTTGGCCTCAGGCAGGAGAAGCTTTGGAGAACGGTTTCAGTCCCATCTACAAAGGGGCAGTCACTACTCTCACTTCTGAGACTGCCTGAGGACACGCAACCCCATCCTTAGGTGTGGTCTGTCCACGCCTCCTGCAACCAGGACCACGCCTGACAAATAGAACAGAAATTACAGGCGTCTGATTTAAGGCTGTGTGTGTGTACACTACTCTCGAGCCAAGCCCCAAACCCTAGCTCTGTGGCTGCATCAAAGGGCCATCTCTACTCCATCCTCCAGGCCCAGAGTAAGCAGCAATTTGAGAGGCAGCCCCCTTTTATTTTTAGCCTCAAAAAAACCCCAAAAGCCTACAGAGCAGCGCTCACCAAAGCGTCTCTTACAAAGCTGTTGTTTGACTTGGGTTGAGAAAATGACAGGCTGAGTTCTGCACCAAGAAGAGAAGGGGGATAAACGGCAAATGGGGGGGGGGAGAGAAAAAAAGGAGTGCCCCCCTGCCAACCTCCATCTCCCTGAGTCCTCCCCTAGGCCTGGGTGGACCCTGCCTGGGTAATCGTCCCCTGCTATATTTAAAAACCACAGATGTGTTTGGAGGGGACTTAATTTTGGAATTGCGGGCGGCATCTCCTGGGGACAAGGGGAAAGCCGGTGCTGAGCTCCCGCTTGCTAGCTTCCAACTCTGGGGAATCCAGGTCAGGACGCGTCGCCTTCTCACAGCTGCCGCCTGCCGCGAAGCTCCAAGCTCCAGGGCCCAACGATTGGGTGGGTGGCCTCCGGGTAGGGCTTGCGTCCGCATTCGATCTTCCGGGGGCTCTCTGTGTGCGAGGATCGGGCCCAATGTCCCTGGCCCGCCGCGAAGCGCTGTGCAAGTCTCCCCTCCGTGTGCCAGGCTAAATATGCGCGGCTTGTCATTCGGTGTGGCTGTCTCCCAGCTGATAGGGTGACGTCGGGTTTGGAGGCTTGGAGATTGGCTTTTTGATTTGGCTTCTTGCGGAGGCTTAATGGGCAAAGCTCTAGGCTCGCCCAGAAACCGGCCCCTACGCTCGTCCCCTCTGCACGCTGCGAGGCCGAGACGTCTCCCGCGGTGACGGCGGGCGAGGTTGAGTCGCGCGCTCCCAGCCTCGGGAAAGCCCGGGCGACGCGGCAGCCAGCCCCCGCCGGGGTCCCTCCGAGCCGCCAGGGCGCGCCGCGCTGCTCTCCGTCCCGCCCCTCCCGCAGGGATCCCCAGGCGAAGGCGGCCGGGACTCCGGGCCTTGCCCGGGCCACTCTCGGGCCATCCGTGTTCCTTGGCTCGGCGCCGAGGGTCCGCACTCTGCGCCCTGAGCCCTGGCCCCCCGGCGCTCGAGTTCCAAATGCGTTGCCCCGCAGCCCCCTGACAGCTGCCAGCCCGCGAGCTCCGGCGGGTGGCCGCGGCGGACTGTCATGCCCTGGACGCCGCTGCAGCCGGCCCGCAGCCCGCGGGGGCGATGAGCCGCTGCGGCCGGTGAGGAGCCGGGCGGCTCGGGCATCGCGCACCTTTCTAACCCGCCTCACTTGCCCATCGGGCTCCGGAGGCTGAGGGGAATCGGTGAGTAATGGGATGAGCCCACAACCCACCCCCACCCCGGTGGGCGGCAGAGGCAGAAGACGCCAAGATCTGGGGTTTAAGATACCCCCAAGAGGGTCCCTGGTGGAGAAGAATCATAAGTTATTTCTGAAGATCATTCGCATGCACTGCCTTCCTGTAGGTTAGTGCCAGAAGTGGGGGAGGGAGCTCGGGAAAGTGTACGTTGTGTATGCGGTGTTGCGGGGAGGATCTCGCAGAGTGTCTAGGCGAGGGTGCTTGGGTTGCCTCCAGAGATGCCTGTGAGCCACGGTACTGGAAACGTGGCTACAGTCCTGTCCTGGGTTTGCTGACTTAGTGGAGGGGGGCATCTCAATGGGGGAATCTGCTTGCCAGATGTGTGTGTGTGTGTGTGTGTGTGTGTGTATGCGCGCGTGCGTGCGTGTGTCTCGCCGGTGCCAGGGCTTGTTGGGCTCCTGGGGCTGACTGCCCACCGGTTCTGGGGTTAGGTGGGGGACCGCGTTATTCGCTTGGCACGGACCCAGGTACACACACACACACACACACACACACACACACCACCGCACACTGCACACGTACACGGGCACACCAACCTTGGGACTCCTTTGGCGCCAGCCCGCAACTGCAGCCCCAGCGCGCCCATTTCCCCCCCTCCCCCCACCCCGCAGACTCCTGGGCCAAGCAGAAGATAAGAGAGACTCCTAAGTCCTGAGATTTCAGAGCCCCCATGGTCTGGGAGATCCCAGGCCCTGGAGAGAAGTGAAACTAAGCCCCCTTCTCATCAATCCCTCAACTAACTCTCTCTCTCTCTCTCTCTCTCTCTCTCTCTCTCTCTCTCTCTCTCACACACACACACACACACACACACACACACACACACACGCCCTCATTTTAAGGCTAGCCCTGCTTCTGCAGGCCCTGACTGACCTGCCCTGAGAACCTGAGCCACTGGGGCAGAGGATGAAAATGATTTGCTAGAGGGGCTTTGCGGGGTGGGGGGCGGGGGAGGAGACAGTTTTTTCCTTTTTATTCGTTGTGTTTTATTTTTAACCATGTTGAGGGGGGCTAAATAGAGCAAACGCCTTTAATGCAGTGCTGTAAATTTCCTCGCTCACTGCCTGCCTCCTATCCCCCCCCCCCCTTTCTCTTGTGGCAATTAAAAACAAACCTCTGAACCTTTAGTGCTAAGGTTTGTTTCCCAGGCAGAAAGATTGAAATTGGGTGCAATTTATCAGAAATGCAGGCTGCAGCTGGGCGCCAGGTGCCCAGCTCCTGGGTGGCCAAGAAACCCCAAAGGGGGAGGCTTGTGGGTACATGATAGGAACACATCCGGTCTTCTGGTGAGGTACCAAAAGGGAAGCCTGCGGGCCTCCAGCGACCTGGTGACTTGCAGCCGCGCTCCTGTGATTAATCTTCCACAGCTGTTGTGCTCTGTCTGTCCAATTGAGCTGAGCTCTTGTTTACCTCGGTTTTCAAATATAGCTGCTGCGCCACGATCTTCCTGAAACAGGGGCGTCAGTTCACTGTGGATGGACAAATGACCTCCGGCTGGCCCTTCTCCCTATCTTCCCAGCCCCATAACTGCCTCTGTCTGGCTCACCCAGCTGTAAGAGGAAGCTATTCCTAAACTCAGGCCTTGCAATGTTGCAAAAGAGGATGGTTGATGGCCAGAGCTTTTGGCGACTGGATGGGGACTAGTCACACAGGGCTGGCACTGCAATCTTCATTCTCATTAGCCGTCCTTCACACATGTCTCTTTCTTTAAATAAATGAACCGTGTGTGTGTGTGTGTGTGTGTGTGTGTGTGTGTGTGTGTGTAAGGAGATCCCACAGAGCCCATATAACTGGGAACTGACTGTAGTGGTTCCTTCTTAATTTGATGAAGACCAGAAGGCTATGGTGCAGGTCCCTTTACATGGAATGCCCATTGTTCTTTCACACGCCAGTCCTCAACACCCCTTACGGGGGAAAGCCTTCCATTCCTTCTGACTAGGCTCAATTTCCTTACTCCGTCAATCCACAATCTGAACCTATCACTTTGAAGTGATCTAAGACGCAACTCAATTTTACTGATGTAACTGAGCGACGCCAAGAGCAGCTCTGGACAATGAGCCCTGCAAAGACAGGAGGAAGGATAACTGGCTGTTTATCCCCAATGCATCCCCAGGGCCTAACCCTGTGCCTGGCATCAAGCCGGCACTTGGTGACTGTTTTGTTAAACTAATGGAACCAGAGGGTTATGCTGCATCTTCGCCCCCGTGGGTCTTCTACTCCAGGTCAGAGAAGAGAGGGAAGTTTCCGAACTAACTCTGTTTTGCTGTTGTTGGCTTTGTTTCGTCTGTAGAATCAAGCCAGGCCTGGCAGCGTCTGTCTGTAGCCTCAGCAGGAGGATTACAGATTCAGGGCCTGCCTGGGCAATGTAGTGAGAACCCATCAACAACAATGAAAAAGATTGGTGTGTGGGGGTGTGGGCCAGTAAAACAAGGTTGTAGCTCAGTGGGAAAGCTCTTGACTAGGATGATCGTTTAATCTGTAGTACTATAAAAAATAAAATCCTCGCTCCGGATCCCTTCATGAGCTGGCACCATGACTCCGTGCTCCAGCCCTCTTCTATTCCTTGTGCCAATCAGTTCTTTTGTATAATCTCTGGTCACAGTGATGCGTATCATTCGTAGGCAGCAGTGTGACATTGTTTCCCACCCTGTCTGGTCCAGCCATTGCCCACAATCAGGATTTGGGAGATGTCACCATCTTGGTTTCTCCTCACAGTCCTAAGTTTGATAAGTGGGGTGGAGTAATTCCCTTCACTCCAGTCCAGTTGCTTTGCCTAGAGCTTCAAATATTTTCTCCAAAAGAGAAAGCCTTCTCTTGATATTTTGGGGAGACATTTATTGAACAAGCATTCAGAAAGCACTTACTCTGCCAGATATAAGCTAGATAACAGAGGCATACGAGACCGGATGGTTCCTTTCCTCATAAACACACATGCTAGCAGGGACACCAACCAATGAGGAGTCAAATACTGTATAAAGTGATTTCTGCTACCTGAAGGGCAATGTCAGACCAGTGGAAGTAAATAGAAACAGTCACCTCTTCTTGGGGCCTGGAGGCTACCTCTTAGGACAGCTGAGCTCAGAAAGGAAGGATGGGTTCAGGTTAGCTTTGGTGAAAGCAGAGAGGGGGTAGAGGGGAAAAGAAGACAGCACTGAGCAAAAAGATCAGTGTTTGAGATGTCTAAAGTGGAGAGGGGATTTTCTAAATGCCTGGACACAGAGATGCAGGGGGATGAGGCCAGAGAAGCTGTAGGGTCAGAGAAGCTGGTAGGGTCAAACCGCGAAGGGCTTGCACTCTGTGCTAAGGAACCACACGGAATTTTCCAGTGAGGCTTTAGGAAAGCTTTAACTCCAGAAGTGAAGGAGCAAACTAGAGTTTTATACAATGTGCAGACACTGGCTGGAACTGGGATGTAGGACCAGTGGGAAGCTTCTGTAGCTCTCCAAGTGTGCTAATGGAGAGAGGGGTTATGTGCAAACTAGAATGATCTTATAGTTTGGGTTGTGAACCTAGCTTTTAAATATCTCCAGTCCTAGAATGTCCTTTTGAGGAAGGTGGTCCACTGATTTTCTTCAGTGAGGCTGGCTTATGTTTGATTGTCCATATATGTCTCGAATAGACATTGTAAACGCAGCCTTGGAGGAGAGAAGCTTTAGAAGGGAGGAGGAATGGCTCCAGCATGGAAAAGGCATACTTCCTGGTACTCTGAGCTACAAAGCAAGACAAACCCTGAAAGATGAAGGATGGAGAGGTCTTTAAGGATATAAAAGCCTTCCCACCCTCAGAAGGAGCACTGGAAGATGAGACAGATTCACATTTATATTAAATCTGTAGAGACCATTGGAGCAGGACTTCTAGATATGTGTGTATGAAGACAGACTTCTTGAAGGAACCGTTTGGGGGAGTTGCTAAATCTAATCGCAGGATCCTGGATACTTGGCTGTTTTATACAGAGTCCCACCTACTAAGAAAACTGCTTCACTTCATCCTAGATATAGCATGGAGCAGGCCAAGAAGCACGAGCTGCTCTGATTCGTGGCTTGACAAAAATCAGGTGACCCCGGTTGTGCAAGAGTGCAGGGTCATGTGGTAACTAAATCTGGAAGCAGGGACTAGAAGCTAAGTCTCCTCTGCTTCCAGGTGGTGCTTTCTAGATCCTTTGAGAGGAGAGGAACTCACTGTCCAGGGGAATGAAGACTGTGTGGTACAGTCAGACCCTTTTCCTCTATCATGTCTGCTCCACTTGGCTTCTCCTCCAACCCTGTCACTACCCTTAGGACCCCGCTCCTTTCCTGAAGAGCAACCGCTCTCTTGCTAAACAGGACTCCTTCTCTTATCTGGAGTCGCTTGCTCCTTGAACACAGAATCCTGTCTCTCCACAAGCCCTGCTCTAAAAAGAGTGTCGTGTGTCCACTTTCCCCTTCCACCACCCTCTCCCCATCTGATCTTGATTAAAGTTTTGAAATTGTATAGTGATAATTATTTTATTTCCTTATCACTCCATTGCTCATCACTTCCTGCTTTTCACCTTCTACCCCAGGACCTCCCGCTCTCCAGACTGTAGTGAGCGTGCTCTCTCTCTCTTTCTCTCTCTCCCCATACTCACTTTCATCAGATAATGTGGACCATTAGCTCCTAAGACCTTTCCTTGCTGGGCTTCTGGTGGATTGAGCTCTCCTATGGTCCCTCGTCTTCTTCTCAAAGAATCTGCCCCCTTCCCATTTCTCCCTTTCTCCACCGTCCCTTGGCGGTCTTCCCTGGTGGCTTGTGCTATTACTCCAGGATGTTCCTGGAGCATGTGCCTCTAGCTCCGCATGCCTCTGCCTTACGTCTAGCCACTTGCACACTGTCTGAAACAAGATGTCCATCAGTTTCAGGAATTGGATATACTCAGTGATACTCAGTTGACCTTTCTCAGTGTGCAGTCCCTAGTGGCCTTCTACTGCAAT